GCTCAACATGCAGACTTCTTATACGTTCAGGTATTTCACATCCAATTTTTTATGGAAATATTCTTTATAAAGCACAAAAATGTCAGTATTCACCTCTGAAGCTAACAAAACCTTTAAATAGACTTATTAAGAAGGGATATAGTTACGATACTGTTGTCAGGTCATTAAAGATTGCATATTTTGGCGTTAATATTGATTCACTTATAGGGTCTTTGCATCGGCACTAAACACATTTATTTAAAAACCAGTTGTTGGCATGACACGGGTTATGTTCTTCTCATATATGTTATGATGGTATGATACTAAACCCCTAACGAGAAGGATTGTGCCTGATATTCATATGATGAAGACATAATCTTTCAATCAGTTTAATTGAAGTCTGGAGCTGGCATGTCAGTTAACTGCTAGTAGTCTGTTGTTATTTATGTATTATTGTCATTTTGTTTATTTTCTTTGGTTACATCTTCTGACATCAGACTCGGACTTCTCTTGAACTGAATTTTAATGTGCTTATAGTTATGCGTTTACTTTTCTACATTGGCTAGAGGTATAGGGGGAGGGTTGAGATCTCATAAACATGTTTAACCCCGCCGCATTTTTGCGCCTGTTCCAAGTCAGGAGCCTCTAGCCTTTGTCAGTCTTGTATTATTTTTAATTTTAGTTTCTTGTGTACAATTTGGAGTTTAGTATGGCGTTCATTATCACTGAACTAGTATATATATTTGTTTAGGGGCCAGCTGAAGGACGCCTCCGGGTGCGGGAATTTCTCGCTGCATTGAAGACCTGTTGGTGACCTTCTGCTGTTGTCTGTTCTATGGTCGGGTTGTTGTCTCTTTGACACATTCCCCATTTCCATTCTCAATTTTAAACCATTCTAAATTATCGCCTTTTTTCGAAAATCTATAATTTCTTTTATTTTTTTACTTTTTTAGATGTTGAAAAGTCAAACGATTAATAGTACTAATACAAAGTTGTTTCCAGAGACTAACGAAGCTTATGGCACCTGTACAAAAATAATACTGAAGAATACCGTAATTATATCCTTAACTGCTGTCAGATCAGTTATTGAAAAGACTATCGAATTAACCCGATGATAAATTGCTGAAAACCCTAACATGAATTAATTGAAAAGGTGTGATCCAACAAACTAAACAAATTTTTAATGTTTATCAAATAGCAGGAGGATCTGAAGTATTGACTGGTTTTCATTGTTGTGTTTACAACTTGAACAACTGTCCAGTGTTTAATGATTTTGTCCATTTCTTCCGAACTTAAAAAGCACTGGATTTATTCACCGTATTTGATATACCATTTTGTATACGTAATTTGTATTATTTAATGAATAAGTTTTGTGTTGACAAAAATTGACCCAAAAATATTTGACAAATTTAATTAATTTTTGCATTAGTTTTACAGTTGAGGTCAGCTCAGTAAGAAAAAAGTTGATTCTGTACATTATTTCTAATTCGTATTCTCTACTTTCAGATGATTTATGAATACGATATAATTATTGAACACACCTTGTGCATGGGATGTTGAATAAATTGATAAAGGCGACACTTAAATAGTACAGGGGAGTGATAAAAAATAATGACATAACTATTTTATAGTTTTCTAAAGTAGATTATATCATACTATTAAACAAATTATAATAAAAAGTTCATGTCTCTGAGTTTGTGTGTAAGCTACAGATGGTGCAATATCTCTTATTGTATAAAGATTATAAATAAAACAACGCCCAATAATGGAAACTTAATAAATTGCATTTCCCTATCAAGGTTTGGTAATTGTAGTAAACAGGTCCCCGAACTACCTAAACCGAATTACGAACAATGTGCTTTAATTTTGATTAAGTGAACTGAATATAATATTACGGATGGACATGCTGGTTTGATACTTTATTTACAAGTCTAGCTATCAGAGGGTGGGGTATAAAATATACACATACATGTAGTCTTTCGATGGAATTTTGTGTCTTGTATATCGTAAAGATATAAGATTCCATGCAATCAGCTTTTAAAATATATTAAATTGTCAAAGTTGCCGTGCGCAAAGAAATGGGTGTAATACGTTTATTGTACTTTTAAAATTTAGAACTTGCATTGTAAAAAATGTATAGATACATTAGAAGCTATCTAAGCAGAAGGGCCGTAGTAACAGTCAAAAGTTATAGTTATATAGATGAAGATAAAATAAGGATGTTTGAACGTTAGCTCTTGTAAATAAAAAACTCTAATTATTGCAATTCATAAAGATATACGCGGAGAATCGTGAACATTACAAACACACCAACAAATTATTGGAAAATATTCTTGGACGCATCAAAGATATAGATTAGCTGGTAAAAGATTAGTTAAGCATGTTATACAAGCTGCAGTTTATGACTTTACTTATAATCTTCAAGGGTAGTATATAAGATATGATTGTCAACTGCTGCTGTCGAGGCACATCTTTTCTTCAAGTTTGTATAGTTTTTATAAGACAACCTAATTGGGTTTATATTAACTGCTTTAACCATTTATTGAATTATACGTGTGTTAGAGATGTGACGGTCATTATTTTTTTTATCATAAATAAATATTTTGTTAGTGATATCTAAACAGGATACTGTAGTATCTTTTAAATGTCCTTGCCGTAATTCATTTATTTTTATATGTAACTTGAAGTATAAGTTCGCTTAAGTCAGTTTTTATTCTCAGTCGTCTTAGACATGATCGAATATGAAAGCATTCATCAACTTAAACCAAAATCTGTTTTCACGGGATGCTTCATAAAGAAAACAGTAATTATATTAAGAATCACCATACATTTTATTTGAAATTGACAGTAACTGTGAGAGACCAGTAAGTATGTAGAATCATCAGTTCAGTAATTAACTGAATATTAGCCCAGAAGCCCTTTGTTGAAAGATGTCAGAACTCTCTTTGTATAAATAGTATAAGTTGTATATTCAAACTGTAAAGAATATACAGTGTCATTTAATACGTAATTAGTTTTTGTATATAATACAAGCATCCAGCCACTCGAAACAATCTGTCTGTACAAAAAAATAGAGTTATCTCCCTTCGTGTATTTTTTCAATTGCTTGATTGTTGCTTGCTTTACGTTCTGTGGCAAACATTCTATGCTTATTCAGAACGAGAACAAATAAACGGTTGATTTAATATAGTTTCTGCAAGGTTTCCCCGTCCGGGGTGAAGATCGAGAAAGGATGAGGTATGATGAAAGCTATTTTTGGCTTTTGTAATTGTTGAAAATAGTAAAATTATTCATTTCTTTCAAAAAAAGTAAAATCACAAAAATACTGAACTCCGAGGAAAATTCAAAACGGAAAGTCCCTAATCAAATGGCAAAATCTAAAGCTCAAACACATCAAACGAATGGACAACAACTGTCATATTCCTGACTTGTACAGAATTATGTTAATTCTATTGATAAATAAACATGTTGACTTAAACACTTTAGTGCAGAAGTGACAGTTGCAGCAGTTGCTATTATTATCAGCGTTGCAGCTAGTAAACCAATTTTGACCTGAAACGGTCATTTGGATCTGAGACTGAACAATAAATTATAAACTCATTTTCAGTCTTTTTGAGACTTCAATTTCAATTGCGGTAAATTCCGTACTGTTCAGACCATTCGCTTATATTTTTTTCTGAATATCTGGGCCTGTTTATCGAAGCAGTCTTAGGATAAGAGCATATCTGTATCATAAGCGGGTTTATCAAAGGTGTCGCAATTTAGGATTTTAATTGAAATTGTCCTAAGTTAAGGGCACCAATTGGTGTTGTAAAATTTTAAATGTACATCATTATATAAGTTTTTTTTACAATACTAAGTTATAATAATACTGTTAATATTTTTTTATTATATTATCATTATATAAATGGTTAATTGTTATGAATTTTGTTATGAATTTTTATCTTAATACAAATATAGCAGGGAAATATAGAAGCGCTTTTGCAAAATTTAGCTGTGGTGTTGAAAAATTGAAACGGGCAGGCACCAGAAATTACTTATTAAAGATACATTGTGTTTTAATTGTAAATATAATGCAATTGAAGATGAGAAACATGTTTTTTTTAATTGTCCATTATATGCAGATTTACGTGTTGTTAAAATTATGTTTAGTCATGCTAATTCTTCTTGTCATGATTTTTATAGTATTTCAGATGACAATAAAATTGTATTTTTATTTAGTGAAGTAAATGGTTACCTTTACACAGCCAAGATCTGCTATGATATTTTATTGAAAAGAAAATGTCTATTAAATTCTTAAAATGTCTATTTTTATTATGTTGTATATTTTATGTGTAGTCTCTCATAACTCTTTTTATAGCGGCTCTTGTTTTACATGTGCATTTGCAATTTGCAAATGTTTTGTAAATAAAATAAAACAAATAAAATATTCTCTTGTCTTATATAGTTTTCATTTTTTTTATTTGCTTTTTACTTATAGTTAAACACTTAGGATAGCAGTTAGAACAACCTATATAAGATAATCATGAGAGGCCTTCGATGTGCATGCTGGTACAGTCCCAAGTCCTAAATTATGTCTTAAGACAGACCTGAGGACACCTTCGACAAATAGGCCCCTGTTCAGTCTATGTTCAGACTGTTCATTAGTTTTTATTCGTATGCGAAGTTAACAAGAACGTCATACTGAATTGTCTGAAAAGCTACTGAATAGTACTGAATTGACTGCAACCGAATTGTCAGAACAGTACTGACTTTACCGCAGTGAATAAGTCTAAACATTGACTGAAAGACTGAACCCAACTGAGCAATTTATTGTTCAGACTTTTCAGATGATGTTATTACTATTGACTTTCACGAAAGTTTTTTTGTGCATAATTCTAGGAAGAGTAACATAATCTATGAAAATAACATATTTACATGATTGAATTTCATTATTAAATATATTAACACGCAATTTAGCAGTTAAGCAGTTCTATAATTATTTTTGCATAACTCGAATTCTTACATTTTAATTATTCGATCTGTAATTGTTGATGGTTAAACATGTGCATCATGAATGTTGCTCGTTTTATCGTTGTTGTACTGGTTATTAGTTGCTACGGTAATAAGACGAATTCTGGATCGTATACACTGAAACTTGGTATGTTATCTTGCTTTTCTTCATGACATTGTTTTTAGAATACAATATCTTTTAATTCATGATCTTAAATAAAACTTTATACTAATTTAATATATCCAATTGTTATCTAAAGCAGTAATTTTAGAAAGGCCATATTTGACCCCGAATTCTAAGTCCGTTGTTTCATTACAAGATAAAAAAGTATCGAGTTGATGAATATACATGTAAGAAAGTGAAATACGACTATTTTTGTAAAGCTTTTCTTTTAAAGGGTTGATATTTACATCCAAAATAGGCCACAATTAGAGATGTTGGTGAATGTTGACAAAATCGTCAGAAATTCAATATAAGTATAAGAAGATGTGGTATGATTGCCAATGAAACAACTCTCCTGCAGAGACAAGCACGACATAGAAGTTAACACCTATAGGTCACATTATGGCCTTCAATAATGAGCAAAACCCATACCACATAGTCAGCTTTTAAAGGCCCGAAATGACAAATGTTAAACAATTCAAACGAGAAAACCTAATGGCCAGATTTGTGTATAAAACAATGAACGAAAAACAAATATGATATACAGCAACAAACAACAACTACTGAATTACAGGACTTGGGACAAGCACATACAGAATAAGGCCGGGTTAAACTTGTTTGCTGGCGTCAAACCCTCCCCCAAACCTGGGACAGTGGTATAACAGTACAACATAAGAAAAATCTATAAAAAGCAGCTGAAAAGGGTTTAACACATCAGATCGATACAGCGCATAAAAACAACTAACAAAAACACAGACCGCACGTGGCAGGGAATTTATACATCCCTACAACTAAAAAGACACTAAGTACAGATCTGAGGTTACTCGCAGTTACTGACAGCTAGTTCAAAGCAAATTACAATCTAAGACTAACCCAATTTAGGCTTAGGAAACATAGGGCGAAGGCTTCGACAAACCAAATATTCAAGTAAGATATGTAAATTATTATATAAAGATATGTAAATTATTATATAAAGATATGTAAATTATTATAAGTATCATAATCTTAATAGATCTGTTTTATCGACCCATGCGCTCCTTGTTCCTGTCTTAAACATCAATGTAAATTTGACTGTTTTCATTGAATTTCATGGAAAAAAAAATGTGTGCTAGTTGTGAAGTCATGAAAAGATCGCTAATACGTAAATTAATAACAAAAAGACATATTTCCTATCTAGTCATTGTTTTAGTTATGATTTATAGCAATATTGGTCAATAAATCCTCATTTAGAATTTTAGCTAGAAATAGGGGTTATAAATGAAAACAACACGTTATTAATTTCATGTGTCCGAAGCGCTCTTCTGGATTTACCTTCATCAGGAACGCTCACAGCCAAATATTTGAAACCCGAGGATGTATAAGAACCGAAACAGTTGAAGAGCTATATAACCAAAAAGTACCAAAAGTCATATTAAGGCCAAGAGTTTAAGATTCAACATAAGTTATTCAATATCAGTTATACAGGATAGTATTTCTATGTGTGAAACTCCATGGGTTGACTGCATGGGTATAGAAATATGGTCATCTAGACTTCATCCGTCCGACATTAAACAAATGACATGTTAAAGAGACGTCTGTTTGGTTGTGCGGGGTGTAAAAATAAGCAGCTACGTCTAGTCGAAATAAGGACATTAAATACAAGACTTTATTTCTGCCCTAACCAAGATCATCCAAATTCAGTATAACTTTCCTTATTTTCCTGTGGCACTTTCACTTTCAAGACCTTTCTCCCGGTCGATGTGACCAATTGAGAACTATTGTAAAATTGTCTCTCTGATGAATGTTAAGGAATGCATGTATTATTTCTGGAATATTATTTGGGGTTAGGTATAACTACACCTTGTATAGATATCCTGTATTTCAATTATAATGTGTCAATGTGAAATAAACTGTTAATACATGTATAATCATTTGTGCATTAGTATACACATCCTATCTTTCGTCTCTGCATTCGTGTTACATGTATAACCGAAATCATTATATACATTGCAATTGAAAAAAAAATGTTTTTTTTATTTCTTAAATAGAAAACGCAAATTTCGAAGAACTTCAAAGTATGTTCATGAATTTTTTAGGAACAGGGAAAGGTAAGAAAATTATCTTAATCTAGAAATTCGTATTTTACAGAAATTCAATTCACTAGATTAACAGGATGGATCTACATTCATTTTTATAGTTTTTATCATTTATTATAAAATCACACTGAGGTTAAATGGAATATTTTCATCACAGAACATAGTTTAAAAAGATAACAAGTACCCCTGTAAAGGCTGTTTAAACATGGATATGAAAAAAATAGGAACATGACTGTGCTTGCTAACGTTTGATACACCGTTCAAATACAGAGTATGTGTATATATACAAATAAGATATGGTATTATTGCTAATGAGACAACTCTCCACCAGTATGTTTGTTTTGAAACTTTAATTTGATTTAATTACTTCATTCTTGCATGATATTCACATAATTTATCATAACTATCTACATTATGCATTTCTCAATCTGTAAGTACTTACATTTATGAATGCATGAGTATTTTTGGTAGTTGTTTTTCTGCTTTGAATCGATCTGATGAGTTAAGCCCTTTTCAACTGATTTTTATAGTTTGTTTTTATGTTATATTGTTACACCACTGTCCCAGGTTAGAGGGAGGATTTGGCGCCAGCAAAATAGTTTAACCTGGCCACATTCTTAAATGCCTGTCCCAAGTCAGGAGCCTGTAATTCCGTGGTTGTCGTTGGCTGCCTTAAATAAAATTTGTTTTTCGTTCATTGTTTTGTACCTAAATCAGGCCGTTAGTTTTCTCGTTTGAATTGTTTTACATTTGTCAATTCGGGGCCTTTTTATAGCTGACTAGACGTACGCTGACATATAGTTGTTAACATTTATGTCATTTGTCTCTGGTTGAGAGTTGTCTCATTGGCAATCATACCACATATTCTTATTTTTATATGAAATAAGTACACACGCCAATTAATAATTTTATTACAGGTTTATTTTCTCCGATTTTTTTTCCCTGATCAACTAAGACCTTTAAAATTGATCACTTGATTAGTTAGTAAAAGATACTAAACAAAATTTTAATTTATGTACAGGTATGAGAGAACATGAGGAGAAATTTTCAGTCTTTGCAGCTTCTTTGACTAATCGACAAACCCTGCGGACTGGTCAAATTATCTAATTTAACAAAGTTTGGACGAATGTCAATAATGATTATCACCCAAGTACTGGTGTATACACGGCTCCAAAACCTGGGATGTACCAGTTCTCATGCACCGTAATGACACCACATGATCAAACCCTTCGTGTCTTCCTATGGAAAAATGACACAAAGACAGTAGGAGTTTATCCTGGTAATTCTGGTTATAACATGGGAACTCTTAATATGTTAGAACTCAACAAAGGGGACAAGGTATATATAAAGCAATGGGGATCAGAGAAACGCATCTGGAGTGAACCTGCAAGCAACTTCTGTATGTTTTCTGGTTATCAAATTCGATGAATTAAATGTATCCGAATAAAGATGGAATGAATAAACAAATATTGATATTTTTCATTTTGTTTATAAACGCATGTTCAGAATGTCCCCTCAGTTGATCCTTATTTGTAACAATTTACCAATTTCAGAATCACTTATATGTATTTCAGAAGTATTTTCAAAAAACATATCATTATCATTATCATGAAAACATTAAGCCCCCCCCCCCCCCCCCCCCAAAAAAAAAAAAAATCTTGTTCCTGTATGATGACGAAAAAAAATGTTTTTGAATTAAGTCATACACATTGTTTTCTGCGCCTATAAAACATAAAAAGTAGAGCCTCAATGTCAAAATGCATACTTGTATGTTATTTGTGTCCTGGTTTCATGTGTCGGCATATGAAGATATCTGTTCTATATAAATCGTTAAGATGTTTATGGGCAGAAGCCAACTTGTACTACAACTTGCATTTAGTGAGGTCATAATATATGATACAATAGCTTCCAATTAATGGAATTTACAGTCTGGGAAGTTCTTACTTCCCCTTAAAGCGCTTCCAATTAAAAAAGACAAAGAAACATACCACATGTACAAATTCAATGAATTCTCTGTCTAAAACAACGGTCACATGAAACAAAATAAAATTTCCAAAATTAAGCATTTTTATCATATCATACATACTTCTGAAAACACGGATTTTCTCTAATATTTTACAATTTACCAAAACAAGTAATCACCACTCATCGCATGAAACACTTCATGAATATGTATATAACACAAAACATTTACAGTACAGTTTAGGAGTTTTAGTTGAAATACAATGAAGGGGCGGGGAAATATTCGAGTCGTGCATGCATATAAAAGTGACCATCGATATACGAGCAAATGGAAACAATATCTGAATCATTTTAGAGCAAGAATCATTACGACTATACACTGAAACCGTGAAAATAACGAGTGATGTAAAATAAAAAGACAAGAGAACAACGAGGCGTACTAATGAAGCCGAGTATTACTAGCAAATCGGAAAGTCCGACTTTACCTATCGATATCTTTTAAAGAACTCGCGTGATTCAGCAGAATCGGAAACTACACTTCCGATTAAAGCAGAATCTTACAACACCCACCCCCAGGAATGTCAAATTGAACACTTCCTTGATCCGCATATGAATGAACATATGTAATTATATGAACAGACAATTGAATCGTGCGACTTGAAAGTTTCTACTCTGAACTGTTGTGGTGTAAAATCAAAAAATCATTATCTCCAGTTTTCATAGAATTGATACAAAATTACGATATTAAATGTCCGGTTGAAACTAAAACAGACAAGTTAGATGATGATGGATGATTGTTTAATGTCCAGCGGCAAAATAAATTCTTATTCAGAATGAGAACATGTTAATTAGATGAATATGGACCCTTGCTTGTACTACATCGACACGCAGCCGGATTGTTAACGTGCTTGTTCATATCAGGAAGACACATATCTGTACATGAACACATTATTCTACTGATTCGACCAGTATTGCTCTTACTCCGTAATGCCGCATGCTTAGCAGCGAAGCAACTACCAATTTTAAAGTCTTGGTTTGATCCGACCGGGGATTGAACCAACGACTTCCCGCAATCGAGAGGAGCATGCTTTCCCAAGACCACCGAAGCAATTCGACGACTTAGATGCAAATCTAGTATATTTGATTGATTGATTGTTGGCGTTTAACACCACTTTCAGCACTCTTAGCTTTATCGTGGCTGCCAGTTTTTATTGGTGGAGGAATCCGGAGTACCCGGAGAGAATCACCATTCTTCGACTGGAAAACTGGCAATCCTAATTAAGATAGGAGTCGACGCACCTGCCACTGACAATGTTGCTAGGGATTTGGTAAAATTCCTAATTTGCTGTTTTATCCATTATATACATATCATGCATGTATTAGACATCTTCTTTCTACGAAGAAAAACATGTTTGAACAAATTTTTTAACAAACCAGTGATTATGAATTAAAGGAATGTTTTCAACTAAAATATTAGCATGATATAGTTTGGATGATGTCTACTGTTACAATTACTCTGTACCTACAATAAGTCTATACCTATTTTAATCACAATTGCGTTTTCACACAACACATTTTACATATTTAATAAACCTTGTCCAACAAAAATGGTAGATAGTTTAACTGCGCAGTTTTGTCTACGTTTTTTTCTCTCGTGTTTTCTTCTTTGTCTTTATTATTTTTAGAAATTACTGTATCTATGCAGTTTAAAACGAAAAAGACTACATTTAACTAACATATCGATATTTGTAATGCACATTACTATGGTTTGCCTCATTCCTTGATAGTCAGTACAATCTTGGGATAGCAAGTCCATATAACTAGCATCCAGAGTGCAATTAAAAATAAATATAATTATCTTTTTTTTTCAAATTCTCTGAATTATACAAGTGAATCTGTAAAAAAGTTCTCAAATATTTCAGTCATTTTGTTAAACCCCTAGTAGGAATCGGGAATAGAAGTATTATAAATCTCAAATCAATTAAGTGGATATACACAAATTTTAGGGATTTGAAAAATGAAAACAACACGTTATAAATTTCATGCGTCCGAAGCGCTTTTCTGGATTTACCTTCATCAGGAACGCTCAAAGTCGAATATTTGAAAGCAAAGGATGTATAAGAACTGAAACAAATGAAGAGTATATTACCAAAATGGATCTAAAAAAATAGCCAAATCTAACTAAGGTCAACTTTGCCTGAGGGAGTTGAAATCTTGTTTCTAATAATTTTCAAAATTTATTAACGGACAATTTTACAATTATTTGTTATAAATTATTTCAGTACCGAAGTACTGACTACTAGGCTGATGATACCCTCGGGGACTGATAGTCCAACAGCAGAGGTATCGACCCAGTGCTGAAAAAAATGAAAACAACACGTTATAAATTTCATGCGTCCGAAGCGTTTTTCTGGATTTAACTAAATCATTAATTTTACAAATTTCCTGTAACATACCTACATTTTTGCAAGTGGGACTAACGGTCGCACAAGGATAGCATTTTCAAAACATAAAATCAATATTTTAAAGTTCATCTCAGCGCCTGTACGTGTAGGTGAGTAAACTCATCGCATTTTGTATGCACATTATGAATGTGTAGGATTTTTCTAATCTTTGCGCGCTTGAAATAATGTTGAGAATTTTTTCATACTTGTTCGTAATATTGATTGAAAAATAAAACAGGGTAAGAAAAATTTTGTATGTTTATTGTATAAAAAGAAAAAAAGACGTTTTCATGTTGGTCAGACATATTGAACGCATATTGCCGTGATATGCAATTGTATGAATAGCTGAGCAGGTTTATACAGGCACAGAGAATTCCGATAAAACCAATAGTCTGTTAGCATATATACATGCTCCTTATATAATCGTTCTTTTACCAACAAACTTCCTAATGCCATTAAATTATGCAATATCTTTGTTACAATTCATCCATATGCATACTTTCTCAATACGATGAAGGTTTATAGTCAATTTGAATTACTCTTGAACCTATATAAGACCTATTGCAGCAAAGATTTTCAACTACAACAATTTGTGTCTTGATCTCAACATAATGATTTATGTATAAACCGCCTGAATGCATATATATCCTTTTCATACACATGTATAATCCCACAGGAAATGTCATAATTGATTACCATAACGTTTTTCAATACTCGTCTTTTGAAAGTTTTCGGAAAAAGTGTGGAATAGTACGATCCTTAATCCATAATTGGAAACTTTAAAAATTCCAATGAATTCTCTCGTGGATAAATCAAGATCATGGGCAAAATGTAAGAGGGAACACACCAATTTTCCCAATAGGCTATAAACGGGAAGTCGCAGATACAAAAAAAATTCGAACACTCATGCCACATTTATCTTCAAAGACTCACATTGTACTAGATATCCATCTAATCTTTATGTTTATCAATTTTTAAAATATTGGAATTTAAACAAGTGGACCATTCTTGACTTTACTGGATGTAAAAAAATAATACCTTACATAAACTATATACTGCGGGGTCAAGAGTTACATTCAAAATACCTACTATAGTAGCCGCGTGATTCAGATGTGGATTCTTAAAAATTAAAATCTATTCACGTACAAATGTATTTATACTCATAGTCTCTTATGCTATCAAATCTTAAGAAATGCACATTTTTACCATTTAAACAAGTATGCCTTACCCAAACTATGTATTTGAATACTACAAAGTTGCAAAGTTTTGTAAAATTCCTACTTTCCGCTTGCAATAATATTATTGGAACCAATTGTATTGCATCAGATGCGAATTTCGACAATTAATGTCTATTTAGTGATGATCGAGGCCTAAATATTTGATAGTCCACAACCTAACACAAATTTGAAGACCTCATACACATAACAGATAAAAATATTTAACTTCTCTACCCTTCACACTATTTTCAATTTTCTAATTATAAGGAAAAAAAATAACCAAAGATAACAGCATTTAACTTATCTACTCTTTACACTATTTTCCTTTTTCGAATTAAAAAAAGAAATCAAAATATGCAGTGCAACTGTGTTTCATAAAGGAATGAACAACCCAGATACAATAACATCAAAGGTGATTATTTTAATGCACCAGATGCGCATTTTGGCAATTAATTTCTTAACAGTGAGCTCGAGGTCAAAATATTTAAAATCCAAAAGCTAATCAAAAGTTGAAGAGCTGATAAATCCAAAAGGACCTAAGCCTTAGCCAAATCCGTACAAAGAATCAGAACTATACATGAGGGAGATATATTCCTTAATTCAAAACGATGTCTAAATTTTATAACTGAAAATGTCAATCCAATACGAATGTCTTGTTTTAGGAATTGATAAATCACACTTTGTTAAAAATGTTCTTATTACAAACTCTACTTTGAAACTTACATCCAAACGATGTTTGATTTTGTAATGGACAACTTGTTTGTTACGTTTTGATGATGTGTTTTCAACAGACGACTTGTTCCTTTATTAATATGATGCAGA